CCAAATATTTGTTGTTCAGTGAAACATACTGTGTTCTCTGAATTTGTAGCAGCAATTTTCTTTTCCAGGTTGTCAATTGTGGATTTGAAGAAGTCTTGCATGAGTTTTGTAAGTGTAAGTGAGGTTGAATGAAGAATTTTCTTCCATTGTGAACAAAACAATTTGTCGTTAGCTCCTATTGTAACTGGTGGATCTAAATTAAGGGATTTAGGTATAGTTTGATTCTGTAAATGTTGTTCCAGTACATCAGCATGGTGCATGTACCTCAGTATTTTTTTCATTCAGTTTCCTGAGTTTGAAAGTCTTACTAGAGTTTAGATCAGAGTGCACTTGGGCAGTTGTGCTGAAGGAAGTGTTTATTTCATGATTTTGCTTTGTGACAGAGAGAAGGTTAAGGGTATGTTAGGTTTAGAAGGTTTTCATGTGTAGGACTTTGTGAAAAGTGATGATTAAAATCTCCATAACTACTGCATTTAGGAGAAGTAATGGTAGAAAAGGGCTTTGTACGTGTAGAAGTGTGACCTACAGTAGTATCAGAGTATGTGAATGGTGCGGGATTCTTGGATTGTGTGTCAGGTTTAGAGCTTTAGACAGAAGTTTCTGGAAACAGGGTGGAAGCCGTAACTGGGATTTGAAGGTGTATTGGGCATGTGGCCTACAGAGGTATGCTCTATGTCTTGAGGAGGCTTTGTATATTGCATATGGGGAATAGAGTAGGTTGAAGGTTTATGACTAAGAGGGTCTGGTGGATATAGGTTCGATTGTTCAGTGGTTGTCTGTAAGCGAGGGAGAATATATTTAATAATAAAGAACCGTAAACTACTGGATAGGGAAGCTATTCTTTTGAAGTAGAGGTGTAAACCATCCTTTGCTAAGTAAAGTGTCCTGTCTTCAAGTTTAAAGCTGGTGTTGTAAAGGAAGGATAGGCGTGGGTTATGTTGGCAGAGGTAATGTGCGAGAGCGTTAAATATATCAATTTTCAGGTTTAAAGAGTCAGTAGTACCGTCCTGTTGTCTTGTTTGTTTTTTTGTTTTTAATTTTGCACAAAGCTACACAAGGGCTATCTGTGCTGGGCCCACCACGGGTATCGAAACCCGGATTCTAGCGTTGTAAGTCCGCAGACATACCGCTGTACCACTGGGGGGCATCCTGTTGTCTTAGAAGTAAATCAGTATGTCTATTGACATCACGGTAGACGAGACTTGAGAAACAAACACGAATGTTAGTACAGTGAATCAAAATATGTACTAGTAAGCTTTGTATGTCGTTAAAACAGTTATAAGCCGATGTTCCATGTCGTTTTAGGTCGTTAGTTCGAACGTGAAGAAATAAGTATTTTACAGACTGTGGTAGTAAAGTTATAGTGTCTAAAAAGTCAAGTAAAGTGGCTCCACTAATTGATTTTATTAAAATGGTTGTTGATGTAAGAAATGTGTTGATGGAGACACTTAATAATAGAATCTCCAAAAATGACAATGTAATGGTGAAAGAATGTTTGTTTGGACTATCTGTGATCTGCCTACCATGAGTATCGAAACCTGGTTTCTAGCATTGTAAGTCCGCAGACATACCGCTGTGCCACTGGCGGGCTAAGTGAAAGAAGAGGTAACTTACCTTCAGTAACGGGTCCGTGGTCCATGAGTGGAATATAAATCCAGGTTAAGTAGTCAGCACATAGGATCAGCTAGAAAAAAGCTGTAATCTTTTCAAAACCAAAACTCGAGCGCTTTCGAATAGTTGACGATTCTTCTTCAGGAGAATAACTTATTGTATGTCACTGAATTTAAACGTCAGTAAACATAGTTTATTTATTGGTTTGTTCACTTTATATGGTGATACAAAATATTAAACGTGTATTCACAAAATTCTATTTGTCAATATTTGATGATATATGTACATTTCAGTTAGTGTACGATTATTGTATATTTTCTCTTCAATTAGACCCATAAACTGATTATTCACGTTTTTAAAACAAATTTGTTTAACCATCTAATACAAGTATCCATAGAGATATATTGTCATCAATGTATGCAAGTAAAATTACAAACTCTAAATAAAACTATTGTCACACATACTGAAAAATGTATTCACAAAATTAAGTAAAATCGCAGGCTTAACAAGCATGGTGAAACATTTATTAGCTAAACTTCAAGATACACTAACATACTATTTATGTAAACACCTTAGATTATAAAATACCAGATTAGCTTTCATACAAAATTTGTACATATGTCCATGGTACTACTTGTTCATTTCAATTCAGTATGTAAGATTTTTAATATCTTATATATATATGTATATTGCAAACAATGGTGTCTGTCCAAGCGTTTATCTGTCTCCTGTTTATGGTGGCCACTTTCTGTGCTGCATTCAAAAAAGCTGCTTACACGGACAAAGCTCGAGGGCTACTTTTGAAATGACGGAAGAACAGGTATGAATAGTGATGATGCCAAATTTTATTTTGCAAATAGGATATTCTATACTAAATTGTTAAGAATTAATCACACTATCATTCACATTTCAAAATGTGACATAACTTAAAGAAAAAAAAATAGATTTACCATATGTTATTGTTGAGTGGCTCCTAACTATGATTGAAATGCTCAACAATTACTTTTCACAGTGGGCAGTATATGTAGCTCAGAACTTTGGCTCAGGGTGAAACCAAGAGCGCAGCACAATTAACCTCTTAAAGTACATACAATAATTTAAACTGATAGAATAACTTAAACTTTTCCCGTCACTGAGGACGAGTAATTTTGCTTGTAGTTTATAAACGAAAGAGTTAGTTTACAATTCCTGTATTTCAGAGTTAATCACATTTTACAACACAAACATTTTATGCTAACTGCTTTCAAAACATCTTTCCACACTGGCTATTTGTAGATATCATGTAACCATAGAATATCAACCACAAAATTGAAATATATATATATATGACCTTAATATCTACATGTATGTCATGCATTTCTTGTATAAAAACTCATATTTGATTACAATCCAGTATGCTATCATTAATATGTGTAAGTAAAATCACAGACTTAAATATCACACAAACTGAAACATTCGTTAACAAAACGTAAAAATATATTAATATAAAATACTAACGAACAACCCAATTTAATAATACCTGAGCTTTTTACTTGTTCTAAACTGTATTAATCAAGTTAAATAAATCACTATAAACGAAACATAAGGGACAATACCCAAAGTGATTCGAGCTAATATGATCAAAATCTCTTTATTTTAAAAACTCTACAAATATATCATACTCTTCAAACTGTAACTAAATTGAGTGTTCCCCATCGGGCTGGAATTTTGGAAACTAAAGCCATCTCCTACAGCTTAAAACTGACGTGTTTCATCATAGCCTAATATGCTTTAATCTGAAGGCTAGCTCACTAGCCAAATATCTGTTTACTTCCTTGTGGTAGTTCATGCATTTGAAGATGCCATCATTTCTGAAAGAAGAAAAGAATATTATAAGTAAAAACGCATTAACATTTTAAAAATAATACGTTACAATAATTTATAAGGTTGGTGTTTTTAGGCTTTGCAAAAAAAAAATACAATTACTTTATAAAATTGAACAAAAATTTACCATGTAACAATTAAGAGGGCCCGGCATGGCAAGGTGGTTAGGGCGCTCGACTCGCAATCTGAGGGTCGCGGGTTCGAATCCACGTCCCACAAAACATGCTCGCCCTTTCAGCCATGAGGGCGTTATAATGTGACGGTCAATCCCACTATTCGTTGGGTAAAAGAGTGGCCCAAGAGTTGGTGGTGGGTGGTGATGACTAGCTGCCTTCCCTCTAGTCTTACACTGCTAAATTAGGAACTGCTAGCGCAGATAGCCCTCGTGTAGCTTTGCGCGAAATCCATAACAAACAAACCATGAAAGTGTTCTAGAAAATATTTTCCCTATTAAATCAGTGAAAGCCTATAGTTAGCTTTAAATATAATAAACCTATAGGTCCTCTTATCTTCATTTACAAAAAATTTACTGAACATTTCCATGAAATAGATATTGAGAAATTACCTTGTAATTATAATAACAATGAATTTAAGGATCCTTTTCATAAACATATAGTTACAGGTAATTAAAGATAAAGAATTACAAATAATATTGAAAAAAGGAACTAACTTTAGAATTTTAAAAATAACTAAAAAATGTGAAATATTGAAAGATCTGGGAAAAATATTGATAATTATATTATCAAAATAAGTAAGAATACGTACTATCCTCCATGTTTCTTTTTGAAAATGAAGGTGCAATAACAATTTATTATCACTCCTGTTGATGAGGCAGGTTACAACTTCAGTTTTGTGTGTAAAAAACTGTACACTCAAATTCTAGTTAAAGAACAATTTATTATTACTCTTATTGATAAGGCAGGTTACAACTTCAGTTTTATGTGTAAAAAAACTGTACACTCAAATTCTAGTTAAAGAAATCAACAATACAAGTACATTTAGCAAAAGTATTTTAAGTAAAAACAATATTATTACTAATATAAAGAAGGCCATAAAAATATGGAATATATATGTAGAATCTTCTTCTTCTCATCTGCCAATTTTTATATGTAATTCCTAAGTTGCATAAAAATACCATTAAATTCAGATCTATAACAAATTCGTTAAACACAGTTACTGTATCTGTTTCAGTTGTTCTTAATAATATTCTGGATGTTGTGTATGAAAAATAAAAACAAAATAATATTACAAGTGTATATTAATGTATTGGTTAGTGATGAAAAACTGATGCAATGAACAGTCTTTGTATGAGTGGATCAAATTTCAACAATTACAAAAATCTAGGAGTAAAAAGTTTGTTTTACATTTTGTCATTTATTAAGGTTGCTCATGTGAGGGCAGAGAGAGATGTACTAGTAGAAGCTGATCATCAGTGGGTTGTGAAGATGTATTATAGTTTTCAAGATGCTATTAACTTGTACCTCATTATGGAATTTCTTCCGGGAGGTAAGTTTATGTTAGCTTGTAAACTTTGTAATCTAAACTTTAAAGATTGTCACATAATCTTTAATACAAGTATCTGTAGTTTTCCTTAGTAGTAAGTACTAGTCTTAATATTCCTTTCAACTGGAGGAAATGTTAAATTTCCCAATCTCTTGATGGAATATATTGGTGTAAATGTTAATTTTTTTAAGTAAAATTATTAATCAAATTTATGTAGTTTTTGAGATAAATGAATTCATATAACTGGCTTATTTTCAAGTTATAGTTAAAGAGCTTTTTCGAACTCTTGCATTTGGGTCTATATGTTGCATGATATTAAACACTTTTATATTGATGATATTTGGTTGAATTATGTGATTCATTTGTTGTCGATAACTTTTAATGAATAAAGCTACCTACAGTATATAAATCAGAACAAAATATCAACTCAGTAATTAATATAGTTAATTTAATATACCAATCTTAAGTAGGAGTATGCATCATCATAAAACAAAAACTCATCATTATTAGCATACATTGATTAATCAGTTGAGTTCTAGCCCTGCTGTTATTCGTATTTTTGTCCATATTCTCAATCGTATCTGATGAGCAAAAAATGTCATGGATCCACACACAATTTGACGAATAAATAGTTTACCAAAGTATGTTTAAAAAGCCAATGGAGTCCATATGTACTTCATCAGTAATGATAAGTTAAATAAACTGTGTTAATAGTTCTTCAACATTATATTTTGTTTAGAGGCAGTTGTAAGAAGTTCAGTTCCTGTTATCAAGTGATAGACGTTGACTTAAATGTTATCTATAATCTAACTAATCTATTGTTATTATTATTATTTTAAGACAACTTCAGAAGTGATATGATTCTGTATATAATAAATGTCAAATATGTTTTTTTTTGTTTCAAAATGGGAGAAGTATTACTTTGTCAGTGATAATAAACTAGTAAAAAATGTGACATATTGCAACTGGCTGACAAGTGTTTCAAAATTTCTGTAAAATATTACCTTTTTTCTTGGGTTCTACAAACTAGACTTTATTCTCAGTTATTTGAAAGTGTGTTCTAATATTCAGATATTTGTATCTGGCTTCTCTCTGTAGGAGATATGATGACTCTTCTAATGAAAAAGGATACATTACCAGAAGAAGTGACCCAATTCTATGTAGCAGAAACAGCTTTAGCCATTAACTCCATCCACAAACTAGGCTTTATTCACAGGGATATTAAGCCTGATAACTTGTTATTAGATGCTAGAGTAAGAAGACTATATTATGAAAGTAGCTTTTATTTATTTTTGTAAGAAAAAATTTACTAAGAAAAAAGTCAGGAACACGAGAAAACTGTAAACAAGTATGAAGAATGATATAATTGTCTTTTGAGTTGATCCAAAGATCCATATAATTTTCTATCTGTTTAAATGTACAGTAATTAGTGTGTTTTTCTGATGACATAAAGCTATTGTTTGATTATATTTTATATAAAGAAATTTAAATGTCTTTGTTTTGGTCTCATTGTACATTTTGTTTTACAAAACATTTACTGAAAAATGCTTGACATTGGTTATGAAAAAAAAAAGGACCTTTTCAAGTTCTTGTGAAAGCTCCAGCTTTTCTCCTTCTTAAGGGCTTTAATAAAGTATAATACATTCATATACCTCAAGATGAAATGCCAAAATATCAGCAATAAATTTAATTCTTTAATTTTAAAAAGGTCCTATTTTTAAATAATATTTATAGTGTTGTATATGAGGTAACTTATATTAGTAATTGATTCCTGTTGGTAATGAAAAGTATTCTATACTGACGTTGAATATTTTATTTGCATGTTATTTTATTCTCTTTTTCTTCTGTAGTTTTGTGTGATAAAAACTCATATTATGTAAACCCTGATGGTTGAATAAATCATATAGCTGAATGAAATTATAACAAAAATATTAGATCTTAAATTAGATTGTATAAAAATTGTGTTACTTCTCTAAAAATGAGAAACCTTCACTCGTTTTTATTTTTTCTCGTGTTCTTAAAGTGGAGTCCAAATGTAATTTTACTTTTAATCTTTTCATTCACAAATTTAAATCTTAAAAATATATTTATGTAAGTAAATACATATATATATATACAGAAAGTTAAGTACATTATATACAAACTAATGTATAGCATGTCAAAATTGATGGGTGTTAAGAAAACTCTGTAAAGATTGCTATAAATTAACTAATAATAATTTTATTCACATTAAAAATCACATTTTTGTTTCATAATAATTCTTTATATACAACATTTACAGTGAAAATATCATCAGTGTTTTTAAATATTCCTTGGAACTGTGAATCAATAATTTTTACTTTCATTTTTTTGTTGGACATGCATCTGGAAAAAAACACATAAAGTTAACCATGATCAAAGATAGGTTCTGGAAAAAATAGACCGATTTTGTCGAAAAATTTGGCCTTGACTCTCGTTGATACTAATTGCAAATGCAGGAATAATAGGAAATTGTCATATTTTCAACCTGAATGGCACTTGGTTTTCACTTATTTGTCCAGTTCATTCCCTGCAATGTTATGTGGCTCGTACTACCTCCTTCCATGGTTCTATTTGTTCTGTGGAATCCCTCTATTTCCCATGATCTGTCACCTATTACTCTCACTGGTTGGGTTTGTCAACTCATATGACTGGCATTTTTGACTTATCCAGAGAAGGTTGCCATCTGCACAATGTTTCTTCGCAACAAATTCGTCATTTAATTATGTTTTTAACTACTCAAATCCACCAGCCTTTGGAGGTGATCATTCAGGCTGGTATGTGGACAACTCCCAATACATTTGTCACACATTATCTGCACAACCTAGCTTGTCTTTTTCAGGCTGGTATTGTCTTCCTCCTGTGGTGATTATACACGTCTGTTTGCCTTTGACAAGGGTTAGTCGACTTATTAGTTTTTTAAATCTAATTTTAGTTGAAATACATATATTTCAGGATTTCACCTGGTGGTGGGTATTGCCTGTTCAGGTATGTTTAATATTATATTAGTCCTAAATATGAACATATATATACACAGCGTGGTCACAAGTAAATAGACACCACCTTTTCAGAAAAAAATGAAATTTTTCAGT